CGTTATTATTTTCATCTTTTGTTTCGTTTTGGTTATCATCACTTGTCGTGATTTCATTATTACCATCTGTAATAAAGAACCACTGGTGAATCTCTATACCTTACGGTAGGTACTTTCTTTATGCGATCAATCTCCTGCTGTAGCAGACTAAGCGCCCGTATTATACATTATTATATATTGTGAAAGGAGACCTCGCAATCTTACAAGCAGCCAAATTGAAAGGACATCATTGATGAATATGATGAATCAATATCAATCAATGAACTTAATCTTGATATTCCTCCGGATGTGTCTATTATCGGAATTTTGAAAGAATACCATCGGACAAAATATGTATAACTTTTTAATGTAATAGCACTTAGGAGAATTAAGTCAAGTTATTTATTCATTCTTAATTAAAGAACAAAAACCTAACACAAAATGTACTTATTTACAAATACCAATTTTAAATATCATCTTCATTGAATTCATTTTCGTTATTTCTTTCCATAAGTACACTAATATTCCGACTATTCGCTCTTTTTGGATTACTGATGAAATCTTCAATAATAAACTTAAAACCATCGTCAGTTAAATCGATGTTAAGAGTTGACATCTTCACTAAAATTTGCAATGTTGAATCACTCAAGCAGTTTCGTAACCATGACTTGACCCGTCTCAACGTACTAAATGTTCGTTCAGCTTCGTAGGATCATAAAGCGAATGTTCATAAAATCTGAAATAATTTATACCATTCCGAACATTGCTCACTCCCATGGGGTGCAAGACGTTCAAGAATTGCTGCAATAGATGTACGATCACCTATAATTGTACGAAATGCAAACACTTCTTCTTCTAGTTGTTGATAGTTTAATAGTGTTATATCAGTACGTAAACATTATTATTTCCTTTTCATCATTCTAGATAGCATTCAAAAGTCATACAAGCTACAATTTAACATGGAAACTCTGCCGTCTATGGAAGACATATCATGTCTACAGGTACTCACAACCAAACAACGAATCCATTGTCAATACCAATATTTAAGAATAAATGATTCAGTCATTAGCAATTGATAAGATTCAATAAGCGTAATCGCAACGCGTTTTGCTAGCTTCTGATTGTATTCTATTTGCAATCTCACCATCACCCTCAGACTCACCCTTCAATAGAGTTACAAAACACAGAGTTAGTTATGGAAGTTTTATTGAAACTTTATAAAAAGAAATTGGTACCAGTGAATACAGGATTAACTCATAGAAGTTTTTCTTGCTTGATGGTCGACGACTAATCGTTGCAATTAATCCTTCACACAAAGGCGAAGTGTATGGACGTTTGTAATTGTTTCCTCACGCAATGTATAGCCTCGCGGACATTTTCCTCGACCAGGATAATAACCATTACACGGCACCTGATTACCCTCATCCTGATTTGAATAAAAACCACAAAGAGTGCCTGGACGATCATTTGAAGATGTATTATCCTTTTGACATGTGAAGAGAGTAATGTCATACACACCCGTATTCCATGAATATTTAGAATAGCCCGACGGACAAGGTTCAGAATATGGATTGAGATTATCACATAAAATATTCCAACTTGAAAAGATGATTCCACAAAATGTTCCTATTGATCCAACTGTTGCATTTTCATCAGTAAGAGAACATACTTGAAAATATTTCATACGCCAATTAGAAAAAATATGACTTCCCAAATCGTATGCTCCAAATGTATATCCTGTTGGACAGGTATCATTCGGAGAAACATTTGTTAATAAGCCTGTTGGAGCTCGGAGAATGATAGAACAATATATCCCACTCCAACTGGAGTTACAGCGACATTGTCCAAATCCGAAGTCTCCAGTAGGTTGGCAGGAACCTCTTTTCGAGCAATTTTTGTAACAAAACAACGAACTAGCAATATATTTTTGTTGTGATTTTTGAATTAAGTCTTTTTTGATGCAATGTTAGAATCACTTGGAAAACGTTCAGCTGTAAGAAGATTTAGAAAAGATGCAATGCTAAATTTGATGATTGTTGGTTTTGAAGAAACAGTTTTGGACCACTCTTCAATTGATTGCATAGTCGTGGCTCCACCCAAAGTTACAATATTACTTTGTTGCGAGAACTTCTTGAAAGTATTCAACTTTGTTTGATCAAATTCTTCAGTTATTGTTCATTTAGTAGAAGCGGAAAAGATAGAGGCTGTAGGTGTGGGTGTGGGGGTTGGATGTGGTTCTTCTTTCATGCTGACCCATAGCCGCACCCACACCCTATGGATGTAGGTGTGAAGATATACAGCTATAGGGTTGAGGGTATTGAGAGGTGTGAGGATAGGGTGTGGGTGGGTGTGGGCTTGGCTCTCTTCATCTGGGCACACCCTCATTGTCAAGTACCAAAACTTTTAGGTCACCCTACAGATGAGCAGGTGTAAGGTAATAGGCACAACGATATAATCACTAGCATATGAGTATGAAGGTACAGATATAAGAGTATACGTATATGGGTATAGTTATAGGAGTATATGGGTAAGAGTGTAAGCGTAAAGATATATGGCTAACCAATTAGAGAAAAGAATATGGTGTATGCATTTTTAATATTTGTGCACTTTGTTTAATAACTCTATTATGAATTTATATAGCGATGTACGAGCCTATGTTGCATGTTATGTTTTCGTGCTTTCAGGATTGAGCTAAGCGAGACTCATGGAGCTGACGCGTTACTTGTTTTTGTTTAACAAAAAAAAAGAAATAAAATAAAATAAGTTCTTGTCTGTAGGTGATTGATATTATTTTATGCATTTATTAATAATTTATCTGATCTTTTTTTTTCTTCTTAACTGATTTGATCCTAGCAAGATGAAACATTTTGTATTGATCGATGCTGTGTGTTGTCATAGTGTATGTACTAAAGATTTGCTTTCACTTATTCTTTCTATGCATTCAATTAGGTTTATGACGAAATAGTTCTGCATTTAATAAATTATTTTTTTATGTGGGTGCACTTCTCATGCTTCGTTATTATTTGGCTTCTTTCTTTATCCGATTTCATGAGAAAATGTCTTGTACTAAGATATTTTAAGGATTGATCATGCACAAGCTCATGAAAATAATATAATAGTCATCCATCAATTTTATTCATATACTTTTCGAATCATTTTATAAATTTTTTAGGTCACTTATAGAATATAATGAAATATTAGTTAAAGTCTATCCAATCAATAATCCATGTTACGACAATATTTTCTTTCAAAATCAACACAAATATTCAAGAACTATACTTTCTATCGAATAAACAACGTAAATTGTATTGATTTCATATCAAGCAAACTTGAACAGAAAAAAAAACTATACAGTGTTTGTTTAGTTCATGATTTATGCATGAAAATATTAACAATTGATCAGAAATAAAGAATTTCAAAATTTTCTTTCTAAGAGATTTTTAATTGACTTTCTAGGATCAACGAATATGTACAATATATATAAATACACTAGAGCTAACATCATAGTGAGAATTTTTAGACAAATGTATTATTCGATTCATTGAAATCAATAGATGAACGATAAGTAAATTTGAGTTTCATTGACAATTTAGAAAGTAAACTTAATATATTTGTCATAATTAAATAATATTGTTCCTATAAGATAGAAAAATAACAGTATAGACAATTGATCTGTTTAATCAATGGTTATTAGAATATAAAAAAAACACAGATTGCAGATGAACATTGTTTAAGATAAGAATTATGTATTCAGGCGGAAACTGAACGCTACTTATCTACTAAAATTCGTACTAATAGATACAGAAGAAGATTCACTCTACCTCAATTGAATCAAATCATTTTGATTCTCAAGCTATTGAAATAGATAGCAGTAAATACGATTTTGCCACTAAGAAGAAAGTTTTTTTTTGATGATAAAAAGTTACTCCATTTTTTTTTGGAAAAACTTTTCTCAAATGACCTTTCTCCAAATGTAAAAGTTTATTCGATCTCATGGTAAATATGAATGAAATCTTTACTTACTCGGCAATATGACAAAGTAGAGCGTAAAAGTACGGTAAATTTGTCGACAAAAATTAATCGAAAATGGATGCCACAAGGAAATATTGTGAGAAGCACATATGCACCGAAACTGATCATTGTTAAGAAGATTAGTAGAAATAAATAACCATCTGCGTAAGACGAATCCTTTGGTAAGATCTTTTGATATATTAAAAATATTTTTGAAATTTTCGTATATAAATGTCTATTCAACAAAATTATCCGAAATTCAATACCGTACAAACACTTTTATTCTTTTTTTGTTCTATTTCTTTCAATGATCAAGGGTAGAATGATTAGTTTAACTGTCAAACCAAAATTATTAGAGTAGATTTTCTAAATGATGGAGCATAGTCATATTATTGTTTATATTTACGAAATAAGAAAAAATGCTTAAATCAAGCGAATAATTCGTATGAAAAAAAGTCAATCACATTGGAGAAAAATTCGATCAATGAATAATAACAACTTAAAGTATTCAACATACTAATAGTACAATAAAGTATTCTGCAAAGTGCACACTTTGTGATACCAAATTCATACGTAAACCTTTTTTTGGAGAATATTAAAAAATTCTCTTGAAAATAAAAATAAATGTTTAAAATTTGTACGTTTTTGAATGTTGTCATGTATTCAGAAAACCGAAGAAATAGGCGTAACTAAAGATAAGAGATACTATAGATGAGGAACAAACTGAAATAAATAACATCATACCCCACAAAAATGATATGCTTTCAAAAGATGAAGTCATCTCGTAATTTCTTATTCTTATATTTTTTCTTTCTAAGTACTTTCCTGCATTCGAACTTTTTTTGAATCTCTGGTAATGCTCTATAATACGGTAATTAAGGTTTTATATGCATTATCTCATTTGTTCGAAGTTAAGACAACGTTTCTAGTTTGATTATAAGCTACTTTCAAAATACTTTTTATGACTCTTCTCACTCAGTTTATAAATGTGTGCATTTGATAATTGAATAATAAATAGATATATAAGAATAATACTTACGAAAGCTTGGATAGCTTTATACAAGCTCCAAAACATCAGGAAGATAAGCGTCGAAGTCATACCAATAAACGCGAACCATTCTGACCAAGTTTGTAACTGAAAAATAAAATGATTGAAAGTTATCATTCTTCATTAAAATCAATTAACACAACATTGATCAATTTCCTTTTCCACAATAACGGTATATATTTATCTAGATGACCACGCTTATAGAACAAGTATTGGTTTATCTCATTGTTCAAATGTTCAATAGATTAAACATAGAGACAATTCGAAATATTCTAATCAATAATAACGTCTTATCGTTTGGTGAAGTATACTAAGGTGCTTTAAAAAGTGAAGAAAAAGAAAGTGGGAGTAACTTACAGGATTGTAGCCAACATAGTATCGTAGTTGTTTTGTCGATGACAGTGCTATAGGTAAAGTTTGTTCACTACTGCCATTAGCTGAAGTTACTGCCATAATGATTAAGCTAGAACAATTTCAAACACTTTACTACTAACAAAACAAATAAAATACAGTATGAAATATTAATTGATTCAGCAGATAACATTACAAATATAAAATCACTCTTGTTCAAACTTAATCCACACGAATGTAAGAGATATAGATCTGTCTAAAATATGAATCGGCAAAACTTAAATTGATGATACAACTATAATACAGGCAGGGGCGGCGTGACCGGGGCGGATTGGGGGGTCACCCCCTGCTTTGAAAAATTTTGGGTTAGACTTTCTCGAATTTTTGGGTAGATTTTCTGCGGATTAGGGAGAATTATAATGAAGCCTGAGGAGGGGTACGGGGACTTTTGCCACGCTCCTCCGTCCCCTCCCCGGTCATCACTTTTTACAAAAAATCGGGAGTTTTGTATTAGCAGTCTTGACGCATAATTTTCGGGTGGACTCGGACAAGAGACAAATTTTTATAACGTTGAAGAAAGTTACTAAGCTACTTTCTCCGAACCTCTTGGCGCCGCCCCTGTATACAGGGTGATGAAAATTTCGCATTCAGTCATATGTTTGGGTGTTCGTAACCCTTTTTGGACGGCCCAGGGCGAACAATCGGGCAAGATTCTGCGCGTGATCATATATGATCTTGTACGATTCATACCAAATCGTACAAAAAATCGTAGTCTCTGAAATCTTACATCAATTCTTATTGTAAGATTCTTGACAGATCTTACTGTAAGATTATATAAAATCTTATGCGACGGTAGGATCTGACAGGAATCTTACAGTAAGAATTGATGTAAGATTTCAGAGACTACGATTTTTTGTACGATTTCATATGATCGTACAAGACTTACTGTCAGATTTTTTGACTGGGGGGGGGGGGGGGGGGGCCGCGCGGTCAGAAAAAACNAATTTGTCTCTTGTCCGAGTCCACCCGAAAATTATGCGTCAAGACTGCTAATACAAAACTCCCGATTTTTTGTAAAAAGTGATGACCGGGGAGGCATCGTATTAAGAAAAACAGAAAGATCGGAAGAGTATGACTAGGAATTCGGAATGGCATGCTCATTACTATATGGGTGAATCCGTGGGGTTTCTACCATTTTCAGGGAAAAAAATTTTATTCCTAATTTTAATAGGTCAGTTAAACGTAACATCGTCGAAAATGGTCTGAGGTAACAACTAAAATCTCTTTACTCATGAAAAGTATGGAGACCCAAGTCGTTTTTTAGGAACACTCCACACATATACAGAATATCCTATAATAAATTGTTAATCGTATTTGTATTTTTCATACTTTTTATTGACATACCCAGGTCGATGAATCCGACAACGAATCCGATCGGATCCTAAACGGATCCCATCGGAGTCCAATAGGATCCGATCGGATCTGTTATCGAATTTATTCACCTGGGTAGAGAGCTGAAATTTTTACCACATATATATCAACTCAAGATCTTTTATTTCTGAAAGTTTCAGCTCTCTAGCGAAAACTACTGGTGAAATACATCGACAAGACTGAAGTACATAAATTTTCGTATCCGATTTTTATATCTTTTTACTATGAAACTATTGCAAAAAATCAGTACGAAAATTTTCGCTAGAGAGCTGAAAGTTTCAGAAATAAAAGATCTTGATTAGATATATATGTGATAAAAATTTCAGCTCTCTATGTCAATAAAAAGTGTGAAAAATATGATTAACAATTTATCACCAGTTATCATAGGATACTCTTTATATGTGTAGAGTGTTCCTAAAAAGTGATGTGAGTCTTTCCATTTTATATGTTCAAAAAGGTTTTAATTGTTACCTCAGACTATTTTCGATTATGACTCGTCTAACTAGACTATTACAATCGAAAAAAAAACTTTCGTTCAGAACATTGACACAGAATACCCTTCTTCCCAAAAGTGGTAGAAACCCCACGGATTCACCCATATGTCATATAGTGTCCAGAGATTAAGATGAACAAGACCGAGTTTTCGGAATAAAACTCTAAGGATATTTTTTCAAAGGAAAAGGTCTGAAGATTGTAATGAAATTGATCGAGAGTTAATTATGAGATTTTCTAGAAAGTCGTAACGAATTCGTTCTGATATCGGTAATGGTTGTAAAAACTTATCTTCCTTTCCTTCTTATTATGAAGAATAGGATTCATTCATCTAGAATAATAAATAAACATATTTTTTTCTTTCAAAAGTCATGGTGTTTGTAATAATAATAATAATAATAATAATAATAATAATAATAATAATAATAATAATAATAATAGTAAATGCAAACACATGAGTGACAGTAGTAACAACAATAGAAATATTGACTCATTGAATTCGTTAGAATATTCTACGTATACCATCTTATAATAAGAACTAGTGAGTCACGTAATATCTCCCAAAGAAGAGCAAACATGAACATAGTTTTCGAAAAAATCTTTTTTTTCATTAAGATTTTCCTGCAGTTTTCATTATGATCTCCAAACATTCACTATCTTATTTGCCTTATCCTTTAGTACGATCACACTGTCTTTATTGTTACAATCTTCCGGTCATTTTCAATCCGAACTCCAGTCAAATCGTAACTTTTTATCTGTCAAACTCGACCATCACTGTTCATTACGATCTTCTGGACAACTTTCATTGCGAATGCCCTGTCTTTTTTCTTATATCAGGTGATCGTAATGAAAATCTATTGCTTTCAAATTGAATCTAAATGATTTAGATTCGGTTTGAGAATTTTTTGGTCCAGTTACAAATGAAAATGCAACAGATAAGGAAGCTCTGTTATTTCCAACATCGACTATAGTATGATTACCTTCAATGAAACATAACTATGGAGATAATTCGAATAACTTTGACAACTACTTAATAGTTGTTCAAACCGAAATGGCTACAGCGAAGACAATGAAAAACACTATATCTAAAATAAAAAAGAGAATATACTGATATGTTGTGAACCGAAGAAAAAAAAACTTTTAATATATTTTCCAGAAAAAAATGAAAGACAATGCACTATCTGAAAGTCTCCAGGCAGAAGAGAGTTATCAAGGACGAAATTAAGAAGAACATAAGTAGTTCTATAACAAAATGAAATGGACGACTTAGAATCATTTGAAAAAGAAGGAGCAAAAGAAAATCAAGAGACGAATAAAAAAATAATAATATCACGATATTTCCACATTGGCAGAATGATCAGTTTCTGGATGAAGAGAAGGACCATAATGAAAAACAGTCGATAAATTAATACGTAGATCAACAAATGGATTCAACAACTGGATCAGCATGTATATGAACTATTGGATCAACAGGTGAATTAACAGATATATCAATAATAGGATCAACAGGTGGATTGACAGATATTGCAACACCGGAAAGAACACTTGGATTACTATGTGTTGTTGAAGTGTTGTCTTCAACTGTATTTGTTAAATACATACGATAAAATGTTATTCCGTGAATCAAAATAGAAAATATCTGAATAGCCTATAAGATAAAAAGAAGACAAAACTTTAAATTCTTAAAAAAATCTGAAAATATGCGAATTTAAAAACCAACTTTTTTCTTTCTTCAACTACAGCTGATAATGAGTAAGAAGTGAATACACAATCAAATATATTTTTCAAATTTGATCATCTCGTTCTCTTAAATCAATTACAGCGCATGTCCCTAATAAGAACAGCTTTTCAAACAGCCTCAGGGTTTTCTTTTCTTCTAAGGCATCTATATATAAACATAAAACTTTTTTATATTTTTGAGTAGAGAAATGTCTATTGAATCGAATTATGTAAAAATCATCCAATTATCTTTAAAAATAGCTGAGCAATTAGAGGTAGTTTGAGAGTGATTGAATTTGTCCGAATTAAGAGCAGTGTGCCTAATAAGAACAACGAGGCAAAAAATGTTTCTAATCCGAAGACTCCATGTAAAATACATGGAAGGAAAGAAAATGTTACTTAGGGCAATCCAAAAGTAGTGGCAGTAGTACTTTTATTCCTTATAAAAAGCTTTAAGAAACTTTCTTTGTATATAGTCTGATAGAGAAAAGAATGCTCTATTTTTCTATGCTATTTGATCATACTTCAACTAATATCATAATAAAAAAATTTCGATAAGATCTGTGTTGTGATCTTATGTGCTGGTTATAATAATACTCATTTTAAAA